GCCAGTGCGGTTTGCTCCCTCTCTCTCTGGTGCTGCAGGGATAAAGAGGGCTTTATGTATGCTGCATGTCTCCCTTCCAGGATCCCCTTCTCTTGTGTGCATGCTGGTGGATGGTTAAGATTTGTGGCCAAAAATATGAACACCCGGAACTCCCACTTTGGCTCTAACCATGCACTGAGGAAGGGTAACCAACCCTCTCCTTTTCCCAGAGGTGTGCAACACTTTGCATGTGTGTTGCGCTTTGCCTCATCAAGGCAAGTCAAATACTCGGGGACGATTCATCCCTGTCCTGGCACTGGGACAGGTGTAGGAAGAAATGCGTGCTTGTCCTTCGCAAAGGCTGGTGAGCATTGCTGTGACCTTAGAGAGGTCACGACAGTGGAGTTTTGGGCACTGTAGCCTCTCTTAAGCTACTCAGTTTCTGCTTGTGCTTTCTCATACATCCTCTGATGGCTTCCTAGGGTGGCACTTAGCTACATGTTTGAATCTGCACATTATTTCAGCTGATGTAAAAATCTTTGCTTTTGCGCAGGTGAGTTGATTACCATTGCTGTGCTTACGAAGCCAACAGTAATGGTTGTGATTAATCATGAGTTCAGGCCTAGTGTCTACAGAGCTTTTGAACTAAATCAGCTTAAAATCTTAGGATGTGTTAAGTTAAACCAATGCAGCTTTCTGATGTAAACAAGCCATTACAGCTGCTTTGCAGCTTGGAGCAGTGATTGCAGTGTCCAGTAAATCATGCTCTGAGGGTAGGAGTTAAGTGATACAGGTGGGCTGTGTTTTGGAAAGATGGTCTTTAGATGCATGTATGTTGTGGGATGACCAGGGCTTCCTGGAAGAATCACAGCTCGGAAATTCAGCTCTTCTAATGTGCATTTTATTTGCAAAGATAAGAAGCAGAAAGCCGTTGGTAACGTCTTGCTTAGGGGATGGGGGGGTGGTTCAACTTAAAATGCTCAGCTAACTTGCTTTCAAATACTCCAGACTGTTTTTCAGAGACTTCTTCCTAATAATCTTGTAGTGTGCATGTATTCATGCAGTGTGTTTATTATCAATTATTATGTTAATGTTTTTCCATTTGAGTAGAGTTTTATTACAGGAGTTCCCAAAATGCTATGCATGTGTTTAACACAAACAATTTGACTGAAACTCCAGTCATCTCTGGGGCAGGTTTGTTTACCCATAGTGCTCTGTCTTACAAGAAGGAAAGGAGATTAAGAGGTTTAAGCAAGATGAATTTCTCCCAATTTCACATGGCCAGCAATTAAAACAATGGCCCTGCTCTTTCTTCCATATCCACAGACCCTTGTCTCTGTGCAAAAGGATGTGTTTGTCATAACAGCTACAGGGAAGCCTTTAATTAGTTTATTTGTGCTGCAAATGCAAACTGAGACCTAATAATTCTGCCAATTACTTTCTTGTACTGTGAGTGCCAATTTCCAACCTTAGGGGAGCCCACACATGCATCTGTCAGCTTCATTTCACATGTATCCAAGAGTAGGAAAATTTAACTTGCTGTTGAGGCAGTCCAGTTGAATGGAGGAAATACTTTGAGTCAGGCTGGCTTGCTGCCAGGTTATTACCTACAGGATAGCAACAAATAATTCAGATGATAGTGCAAACCACCGTCTCTGGCTAAAACCAATCTCTAGAATTTAGCCACAGTAGAGGTGTGTAGCTACAATAAGGACATAGCAACATAAGGCTGCAACTGCAGCATCCCTTTTTTCCTGCAGCTGTTGTGCTTCACACCCCACAATTGGAATGCTAATGGATCCTGGTCTCCTTCCTGGCCATGTGTATTTTCTTTCTTTGGTAGATGCAAAGTACAGAGCCATATGGCTGTATCTGCACTATGTTGGGGGTGGGGGAATAATCCTCTGGCACTTACCCTGCCTGTGCTAGTAGCTTGCAGTCATCTCTTTGTGCAGTTCTCCATGCATGCAGTGTGACTCCTATTGGGAGCAGCAGCCCTGGTTAGGGGTAGCCCTGTGCCTACGACATTCCCTAGCCAACACTGAGCATCCGTGTTCTGTTTTGTACAGCCAGTCTGAGTGCTTCTGCCACTTCACTACCTCTCCTTGGCCTCATGGCTCTACAGATTAACTTGCAGCCAGTGTGCACATTTTACATAACATACTCTGCTGCTGAGAGAGAGTTTTGCCTGATTTTTTTTTTTTTCCCTTCGTATAGACAAGGGGAGATATCTTACGAGCTACATAAGCTTCTTGGGATCAGACTGAGGGCTTTGAATATAGTATTTCACAAACTACTTTCCCATTTCGATGTGTGCTGGCTCTTCCTTCTCTTCGCGCCCCCCCCGGGTCTGGAAAGCTAGAGAGCGAAGCCCTTTTCCCCTCTTGGCCAGGATGCTATTCAGCCATAGCACATACTGCCAGATTGCTAACATATGGGCAGAGGGCTCAGCCAAAGTTTTGAGAGGCTCAGCCCTTGGCAGCGAGTTCCACACTTTCCTGTCCCTACATTCAGGAAATGAAGTCAGAGTGTTGATATAAAACAGGCTGGGTTGAAAACTGAGAAGCTGGAAAGACTGAAGTGGGGGACTGGGAGGGGGAGGTGTGGGGAGATGGAGAGCGGCAGGGCCTCGTTGCAGTGTGCATTGCCCTGCAGTATGTGTGGGTTGGGGGTTTCTTGCCTTGTGCCAGTGTCCTCCATTTGATTGCTCTTGCTACCTCAGAGTCAGAGGACTGATATTTTATGCTGGCAGACAGATACACGCATCTTTCCTCTGGTGTATGGAAAGATCAGCATGCAGAGATAGTGTTGTCTTGATCACGTGGCAGCATTTATGCAAGAGCTTGGAAGGGGTGAAAGTTGAAACTCTGGCAAAGAGCATGTATTTCCATATCTGGGACACGGGATTCCCTTACCTTTTGACTTTTTTCCTGAAGAATGACTCCATTGCTAAATTTCTATGGAATGATGTGGTTCTAATGCAGAATTATTTTTCTCAGACGGCTTTAACATAAATTACTTTTTTGACTAGCCCAGAGACTCTGTGGGATGGATGCAGGGAGTTCCAGTCAAGTGAGACTGCACTGGGGATGGTCTGTCTTGCCTAGGGACTTAGCAGTTGGTGTACTTCACTTCTAGGTCACTAGTTCAACCTAATCCAGCATAGTAATAACCAAAAGTAAGAGAAAGCTGGAGACTGTGTGGGGCTTACAGAACCTGAAGTGGTCTGTGTGGCTCTGAGACCAATACCTAGCTGACAGATGTCCCATCACAAAAATGCTTGCCCACCTCTAATCTGGACTGATCAATATTAAAAAATCCAGGGGAACTTGCTTGAAAGAGCTCTCCTGCTTTCATAGCCTGGCATCTTTGGTGGGAGAGAATGGAGAGTTTGGCAGCTACGCAGGTGATCTCTTCTGTTTTCTAGATGCTGCCTTCTGGGATATTCTTGTTGCATAAATTTTGTAATGGACTGGTATAGTTTGATCTTTGGGGCATGTCTGAACTCTGTAGTGTCTGGTATCCTTAGCAAAGTCAAGTCAATTTAACTGAAACTTAGGAGGACGTTAGGCTGGACTTGCCATCCTCTAGGTGTTTGAGCTCAGCAGCTTTGTCAAACTTGTTGTTTTCCATTCTTGTTTCCCCTGACAGCAATCATGTTTTGTTGTTTCCAGCCAAGAACGGTCTACTAACACACAAGATGCTCACAAGGGGACAGTCACACGTACATACTTGCACACAAAAGTATGCTCTCTTTCTATTTTGGTCTCGGATAGCTGCATTCTGCCTTTTGGAGACCAGTGTGATGGCTCCCTCTCTTGTTATGTTGGGGTATAATACCCAGCTGGAACAGGATGTTCCAAATGGGGACCTTAAACCAAACTCTTCTGTTGATTTGCTGTAGATCCAGATTTGAGACTAAGCAGGGAGATTGATTTCTGACTTAATTTTTACGCTTACATTCAGAAACTAAGATCAAATTTGTTTTTTTTTTTTAAAAGATGATACCTAGTGTCAAAGATGTTGAGTTTGGTTTTTGGGTGCCTTGTTCTGTGTTTAGCTGGAGATGTCTCGTAGGAACCAGACTGGAGGGTTGTGGTTGCAGTTACTCTGAAAAATGGGTCCCTTAAAGCTCTCTGAGTCTGGTCACTGGAATTTCAGACTCTTGTTTTTAACATTCACCAAGCATAAAGTGCCCATATTGCTTGAGCTTCTAAATGTTCAGAGCATGAGATTTTAATTAATGAGCATAGTTATTTGAATTTTTTTTCAACACAGGAGGCCTTTAGGTAACCTTACAGTAACGTATATTATTGTAGCCAGATCTGCTCTTTGATCTTCTGATGCATATTTATTATTGCTTAATACTTTAAAAGGGTTCACAGTACCCAGAAGAGTGTAGGACAATGATAGGATGAAGTGAGAAAGTCTGGTTTTCTGAAGAGGTGAATTTAACCTGATACAGTCTAACTTCTGTGTCAAACCAGCTTCTCTATCATGTGCCTGGCTTCTCTTGAACCTGGATATAGACTTCTAGTGATTAAAACACTGAGGTGGTGACAGTGGAACTGAGAAGGCTGCTGTGTCCCCTCTCTGACCAGCAGCAGCATTTCCCCCTGTTAATGCTGTCCTGAAAACACAGGTATGAGGAGCCTTTCCCAGGCAGACCCGCTCTGGGTGTCAAGTGGCTGGTGAGGGTCTTGGTGCTGACTGACCCCTTGCTGGGAAGAGTGAGGACCTTGATGTTGATCACAGCCTGGGGAATTGGGAGAGTGTCATGCTGCTGCCTGGTCCTGGAGGAGTTAGTGGGACAGGGTTGCTGGGCCACATGACAAAAGCAGTCAGGAAGGACAAACTGTTGTTTCTAGAGGACCCCTTTTCTCACAGATTTAAGGGACCAGAGGACCTGGGTTGAGAATGCCTCCCTGGTGATGTGGGGGCTGTATAACTGACTCCTCCGTGCTGGTAGAGTAGAGGCTTTGTTGGAGCAGTGAGTGACTTGTTACTGATCCCCTTTTCAGGAGAAGGAGAAGAAGTATATGTTACCAGTGGACAACCTGAAACTGCGAGATGTTGAGAAGGGGTTCATGTCCAGCAAACACATCTTTGCTCTCTTCAACACTGAACAGAGGTATGCTCGCATCTCAACACGCCAAGCTGTTGAAGCTAGGGACAGGTTTTATGTAATACTAGGTAGGAGGGAGTAGAGATGAGTGTGTTGGGATATGCACATCTTTCCTGAATAGCTATCCTTTAAGAATAGACATTTTTGGAGGAGATGGGGGACTCTTAAAAAGAAGTCTGTCGTCTTTCCTTCTGACCTTACAGATGTGTACCACTTTCTTCACCAGTGCATGGTCTGCAGTGTGACCTTAGCCTTTAGCTATTTGATGTGGTTACCTGGGTGTGGCTGCGGCTGGAGTATATATTTACAATCCATGTTCTTAGTGAGTGACTAGGGAAAGCCATAGGAGATAGGGGACTCAGGTTCGCTGGAGAAGTCCAGCAGTGAGCAGAATTGAAAAGGTAATCTCTTTCAGGCTCTGTTGAAACACACAACTGATTTGGAATCAAACTTGCTCATAAAAATTCATTTTCTTTCCCTTCTGCAGGGACATCATGAGGATACTAGCAAGGGACAAAGTGTCTCTGCCTTAAAATGATGGGAAGATTCCTTGGTCATTGACATCTTTGTCAAATATGGGCAAATCTCTGATTTGCAATAGAGAAGAATAAAATGTTTGTCTTCCTCTCAGGAATGTTTACAAGGACTACCGGCAGCTGGAGCTGGCCTGTGAGACCCAGGAGGAGGTGGATAGCTGGAAGGCTTCCTTCCTTCGTGCAGGAGTCTACCCAGAGCGTGTTGGGGTAAGTTACAGCCATAATAATGGGATGGGAATAAGCACAGCATATATCTTAAGAAGGGTAGCTGCATCCTCTTGTGTTAAAAATAAGTCCATGAAGGTTTTGTCTCTTTCCTGAGCTGAGAATATTTTGGAGCAAAAATTTAAGTTTTTGGTATGTCCTGGTGCTTCCTTTAAGGAAGTTTGGGATAAAGTAACTGGCAGCTTCAAAGGGGAGATAAAGTAGGCTGAGACTGCCTTGATAAACCCTTCTAGCTCTCTTGCTTTGTGGGCATTAAATTCCCAATATAAGGAGGACACTTAACTACCTGACTACTAAGTGGTATGTGTCTGCTGAGCGAAGGCACCATTCCTTTTCAGTAACACTTACTGTACAGCCTTGTTAGGAGCTTCCTGGCTTATTAGTAGTTATCCCATTCCTTTCCCCCATCCAGTTAGGAAGGGATGTTGTTTGAATTTTTCCTTTTGCTTGGTAGATACCTTAATATGCTACTTTAGCAAGACCTCTCTTATCTTTTCCCTTAGCCTTGTCCCACAACACTTGCTGTCAGCATTATGCTCTGCTTTAAAAGTATGTTCTAGAGAATTGTAGTATATGTTCCTGTTGAAAGCCTTCCTGTTCTTCTGTGAGAGGAAGCTGCTATAAATAACTTTCCCATTAGAAAAGTGATAATTGCTTATCTGTTTGTATTTGTTGCTTCTAATAGACTTCTTGCATTCATCTTTCCTGTTACACTTGAAGATTGTGGTTTTTTGCCTTAAAGCATTTCCTGACAAACTGATGGGATATAAAAAAAAAAAAAGATAGGGACTGGACCTTAACAGTGACATGACTTCAAATTGGCTTTGAACCAGACTGGGCTTCTTAAATGCATACTCATAAAGGACATGTGCCACCTATTGGTGTGCAAATGAAGTGGTTTGACATAGGAACACTGATTGCTAGGTTGACTGTCTCAAAACCCTATGTAACGAATAACAAGTAGCCATTGTAGGTAAATAAATTGCCCTTTGTTGCTGACAATATGATTTCCTTTGTAGAGTGTCCCATTTTGATTTTCAGTTTAACTAAACAATTCACTTGTTCCTCTTCCAGGGTAATCCAGGTGTTTATGTATTTTTAGTGGGATTGGTCTTTTGCTTGTTCAGTGCTATTATGGGATCTTCTCCAAATTCTGAGACCAACTAAAAGTCTTCTTTTATTTTTTTGTCCCTTTTTGTTTTAATTTTTTCTACATATGCTCAAACTGGCCTGCCAGGACAAGGACAAAGTAAGTCTGACCCTCTCTGCCTGTGTTGCCCCCTGGGGCTCTCACTGGATAGTTCTCTCGGTTTTTTTCCTTTTGTCACAGTTTCCTGAGAGGCATTTGCTTCTTCTCCCTCTTCATGCCTTCTGCTGGATTGCTGCTGTTTGTTTCTGTTCTTGGTTTGAGTTTTCCTTTTTTCTTTTTATTTCTCCCTTTTTGTATGACTTCTGAATTTTGGTGCAAACTTATTTTTGAGTTTTTTGACCCTTGTATTTTTTAAGTTGTCCTGTTTGACATCTGCTTCCTTTACTTTGTTTCTCACTGAGACCTTGCATTCCTTCATTATGTAAGATCTTCCCAGGAAACGCTCAAATGAACAAAAGAACTTGCCCTTTCTGATATATTTTGTTCCCCAAAACAAAGGATAAGCAATTGCCTACACTGCTGCAAATCCTTCAGACTGAGACAGTTTAAAAGAAAGGGTTTTCTTTATAAAATTAAGTTTTTTTTTTTTTTTTAAATAAGCATAGAGAAAGACAGCAGTCTTTCATGCTTTGCTGCTTTGAAATTGATCCCAAAGGGATGAGCCTTGGTGATTGCTTGCTGTCAAACAGCACAGTCCAGGTTTTACCTTACAGAAAGCTAAACAGTGCATTTCAGGCAGACAGGAAGAGATTCATTTGCTTGGTGTGAAAGAAAAGATAATTATGACTTACGGTGCAGGATTTGCAGTTAAAGTGATCAGGAAGGTTTTCTAGGTTACTCCCTCTACTTGCGGTCTGACTGAGGTGAGCAGTTGTTTCACCTCTCTGTATCTGTTTTCTCAATTGTATAATGAGGACAAAGATGCAGTGTGTTGGAGAGCCTGTAAGGCTTAATTTATGGTGAGTTATTCTCAGGTCTAAACTGAATCTGGGCATGGAAAACCCGGCTCAGATGAAGAACCTTTCAGGAAGCTATAAACATTAAAAGTAAAAATACAGCTTTGAGTATTCACTAGAGCTATAACCTGTGAACAATGGAGTCCCCATTACCTTTCACCTTTGTGTAATAACTTCCTACTAAGAGAGCAGCTTTATTGTTAAAGCTCCTCAGATCTGAACTGAAGAAGTCTGTACAAGCTGAGCTGTGCATTGACAATCACAGCTCAAAATGTAAGTTTAAATAAGTTTTTTTTATTGCATGTGCTTCCTGCATGTTCCCTTTTCTTTTCTTAGCGCTCTCATGCAAAGCTAATTTTGTGTTACATTTGAAGAACCAATCTGTTTCTCCTTTCCTCTGCAGGCCAGTGAAGCGGAGGAGAATGGATCAGACAGTTTCATGCACTCCATGGACCCTCAGCTGGAGAGACAAGTGGAAACTATCAGGAACCTGGTGGATTCCTACATGGCAATTGTCAACAAAACCATCAGAGACCTCATGCCGAAGACAATCATGCACCTCATGATAAACAATGTACTTATCACACTGTGGTTGAAGGAGGTGGGGAGATGTAGAGAAGGGGAAAAATAGGGAGAGAAAGAATGAAGAAAAACTGAAGGCAGCTTGGAAGGAGGAAGAGGTGGGGACAGAATGGAGTGTTTTGGGGAAGACAGTGGAAATTGATTCACTCTGTGCTTCTTTACAGACCAAGGACTTTATCCATTCGGAGTTGCTGGCAAACCTGTACTCCTGTGGTGACCAAAATACGCTGATGGAGGAATCAGCAGAGCAGGCCCAGCGACGTGATGAAATGCTGCGCATGTACCATGCCCTGAAAGAGGCCCTCAACATCATTGGGGACATCAACACCAGCACTATCAGCACCCCTATGCCCCCACCGGTGGACGACTCTTGGCTGCAGGTGCAGAGCGTACCATCTGGACGCAGGTACCAGAGGCTCAGGGGGGAGAGCCCCACAGATGTGCCTGATGCCTCTTCAGTGGCTAGTTGGGGCCTCCTACTGAGACAGGGAGTCCTCTTCTTCCCCTCTTCTCCCTGTGGATGAAGAGTTCTGGGTACTTGTGTTGGGAGGCTCCTAGGCCTTGAAAGCTAGGAGGCTGCTACATCTTTACAGGGGATGTGGAGGCTTCTAAACCCTTAGGTTAGATGGGGCCTGAAGTAGCTTTGAAGCCTGGCCTGGCCCTTGAAAGCCAAAGGGTGGTGCATAAAGTGACATGAAACTAAAGAAGGAACACTGAAGGCAGCATATGGGGACGTGATGGTGACGGAGGGATCCCAGGCCTGTTGCAGTTGAATTTCTCTCTTTGTTTGCTAGGTCTCCTACGTCCAGCCCCACACCACAGAGGAGAGCTCCCGCTGTTCCACCCGCCAGACCTGGGTCTCGAGGCCCAGCTCCTGGACCACCTCCTGCTGGTGGGTCCACGCTGGGTGGTGCCCCCCCTGTGCCCTCCAGGCCAGGTGCCTCTCCTGATCCCTTTGGGCCCCCACCTCAGGTTCCTTCTCGGCCTAATCGTGCTCCTCCTGGTGTTCCCAGGTAAGTCCCAAAATGCTGCTCCACGCAGGTGGGATATGTCCAATTTTTGGGTAGCAGCCCTGACAGTACTTAGCCTGCCTAGGCCATAGAAGGAGAATGGAGTGCATGGTGTGGGTACAGTCTTTGACTATTTGAACTGGGTCCATAGGCAGGAGCATTGTTGTCCACTGATACTTCATTGTGCAGATGAGGCAATGCCAAGGCAGCTCTCGGGAACAGAAGGGCAGCCTCTTCTCTGCACAAACCTCTGCAGAGGTTGGGGGAAGCACCTTGTACCTGACTGCTTTAATAAAGCCCTCAATAATGCCTCTGCTCACAAGTAGGAGGTGGTCGCCAGAAAAATCACAGGACTGGAGTGACAGTACACCTTTCAAGGCAGTTCCCCTCTGCGTAGGGCTCCCCAAAGTCTGAAGTTACCCCTTTTCTCCTGGCCCAGAGATCTTCAAGGTGAGCTGGAGAGACCTTCATCTAAGCTGTTCAGATGCTTTTTGGCTAGGAGAATAGTGCAATATCACTGGCAGGGAAGTGGATTTTTTAGGCATTTTTGTTGCTTCTGTAATCAACTTGAATGTTTTTTCCAGTCTAGAGGGTTCAAATCACACAGCTTTGCTTTCCCATTAGGAAACTTAATTCCTTTCCTGTTCAGTCACTTCAAACACACTTCAACATAGTAATAAGGGATTATCCCCTGCGCAGCTAAACACATGTTCCTGAACAGGACTTCGGAAGCAGTCTGGAACTGGGAATGCTTTTATGTTGGGTACTTGGCCTCCCTGTGAGGAAGAGAAGGTAATTGCAGAGTAAAGAATGAACATAACCAGAAACTCGGCAATGACATGCCAGAAGGAACACTTCCCTTGTGGAAAATACCTCTTTTCCAGTGGGTGCTGGTGGCACATGTCTGAAGCTTTGCCATTTTCTGTGGAAACACCCAGCCGGTCAATGGGTGGTGATGGCATATGGCAGAGGCGGTTCAGTCTTCCTCCTGTGATAGTGCCCCAGTTCATACTTGGCACTCCCTATTCCCCTATAGGGAAGTGTTCTCTGCCAGGCTGTATCCAGCCCAGAGATGAATGAGTCCAAAGAGATTCTAGACCATTTCTGACTCTGGTGTGTGCAAATGGTTTTACTTTCTTGGTGCCTCTGCCCCAGTCCTCCCTATGCACCTTGATGCAGCTCACAGAGTAACTTGTCCACACGTGCCTCAGTGTTGCCCCAGGGACTGCAGTCCTGCTGGTGGCACCTATGGATGTCAGCATGATTCTGCTGGGTATTTTGGCTCTTGCTTCTTGTGACCCTGCTTTTCCATATACTGTTACTTTGTGGTTTTGTTTTTAGTATACTTACGCTTCTTTCTGTCTACATCTTTCTTCTTTCATTCAGTTTCATTTCTTCACTCATGAAAAATATTCTATATACCTGATCATCATGATAGGATTCCCCAAATGGGCTGAAATGAATTGGCCTTTTTTGAAGAAATCTGTCATAGCCTATCTTAATGGCTTTTCTGCCTTTGCCTGAAGTAGAAGGGGTTTGGGGGAAGGTAGGGAACAGCACTGGAGCAGAGGGAAGAAAGCGTTTCATACTTAACCAAGCAATCCCTTGCTTTAGAAGGAGATGGTAAGTTGGATCGCATGCTACAGACTGCCCTGATCTGGAGTTGAGAATGTAATTCCAGAAGCTGTGAAGTGATGCTCATTCTCTGATCCCCCCCCCTCTGATTCTTCCAGTTGTTCATAGACTCCTCCGGATCCTGATACCAGCTTGTCATTTGAGTTCACTGATGAATGGAGAATTTCCAATGACAAGGGACTCTCTCTCTTCTTCTCCTGTATATAGAATAAGAATGTTCCCTGCTAGCACTTGGACTCGGGTCCTTCTGCCATGGGTGAACGAATGCCATCTCCATTGTTGCTTTTTTTAATACCCATCTTTTTCCCTTGCTAACCAGGCTACACTATTGTGTGCGTGTGTGTGTGAGAGGACCAAAGCTCTTGTATATGGTGTGAGTGGGCTTTTCCGTAGGAGTTGGTGTAATGTAGTGAACTGGAAGTGCATGGTGGTGGCTGGATGGTACTTTGCGTGTGCATGCACACTGATGCCTGTGTAGAAGTTTGGCAGTTTTTGTGCCTCCAGTTTGTGTGAGCATCTGATTTCATGGATGATGAACTTAAAGACAAGTGTTGCTCCACTTCTTTCTTATAAACATAATTGTATAGACACATGCTTTCACATATAAATACCATATGGTCCATTTTCTTGCACAGGAAGGTTTTCCTGCATATAATTAAGTACACTTAAAACAAGACTTAATTACCATCCTGCCTCTGTATTTAACATTTATTCAGTCTGCTATGGAAGTCTGTATTGCCAAATACATACCTTTGGGAGCTGAAAGTTACGGACAATATAAGGTCCTATCTGTGTGCAATAAAGCACTGCATTCGGACTATGTGCCTATTGGAGCTATGCAGGAGGATTTGCTCTGGGAAAGAAAATGATGAAGATGCTCCTCCAGGTGTTTAGTATCTTCAGTTTAAAATAGTTTGATGGAAACTGTAGGTGAAATATCTTAGGCAAGCTCAAAGGAGAAGTAAGAAAGTTTAAGTGAGAATGACTTAACTATTGGAAAAATCTGTTGAAGGCTTTAATGGGTTCTCTGTTCTTCGGTACATCTAAGGAAAAAGGTGCAAGTGATCAGCATCACTGTAAGCATAACTTCACACAGCTTTGGCTTGAATTATTCACGAGGCCAGAGTAGCTGATCTCATTATTTATGACCTTCAAAAAAGAAGTCTTCATCTGCTTCTTCCCTTTTTGGGTTGTGCTCAGGACTGCATGTTATCTCCCTCTTTCCTGAGCTGTTTGTTTCAACTCTAGCATTTAATATGGTCAGAAGATAGGAATCCTCAGTGAGAGACGAGTCAAGCCACCTGTGCCCAGCTGGTGGGTGCTGAGACCTAGGTATACTGCTGATTCAGCAGGAATGAACATCAGCCTGGATCTGAGTGGCCTTGCTGTGTGGGTGAGTGAGCAGTGGCCAGTAGGTGTGTGAACAGAGAGACAGCTTTCGATGTCCCCCCCTGTGCACAACAGGGTTCTGGATGTATGCAAAGATGAGGGTGTGACTGTGTGTGTGAAGTCCTGCGTGGCAGAGTGCAGCCCTACCCAGCAGTGCACACTCGTGCTGTGTTCTGGAGGGGGACGTGTGAATGTGTGTCTGTGCAAGCGCATGTGTCTCTGTTCCACCTTCCTGACAGTCTGTGTGGCCTCTGCCTTGAACTGTCTGAACTGCCATGTTGATTTCATGTTGTCTTTCAGAATCACTATCAGTGACCCCTGAGGACTGGCAGCCACGGTACGTTTTGCACTCTCCCTGCAATGCATGAGTCATTGTGTCCCCATCCTCCATTTGCTCTGCAGCTCACCTCTGCTGCCTAGCTCTTGTATTAGTAACAGAGTCCCTTGTCCAATGAACCACCTCTGCCAGGATCTCATGAAGGGAGGAGTCTTGAACAGAAAAAACTGGCTGATCAGAGACAGAGCAGCTGCTTGAGCTGCAGGAGCTGGGAAAGCCTCAGTACCTGACTTAAGGTTACTAGAGGACTGTTTCTCTGCTTCCAGATAGAAGAGGTGGGATGGGGGAATGAGCTCTGGCAACAAGGTCTAAACTGTGTGTCTCTTTCATTTGGCTTATATCCACACTGACTGGGAGATCAGCTGAATGAACTCTGGTTTGATTTTGTTTGTCAGCTCTGTTAGGAACAAGATAGAGACTTGGGGAGCTGTTAGTTCAGACTCCTCTTCTTATATTCTAATGTCTGGCTGGAGAAGTGCTCCCCTCCTCACGTGTGTCCCTACTGCTCATGGAAGGCAGGAGGAGTTTGGGTCATTAATGTCAGGTCTTCCATGTTTGAGTGCAGGGTAACTCTGACATTTAATGTTCCCTGTTATCCTTGTGTCCCATCATCACTGTTAGAAGCAAACTCCCTTTGCTTGTTTTCCACTTGACCCTTTACCTTCTAGGTTACTCCTCTGTTTCTATTCAAACTGCCTTCTCTCCTCTGCCTTCTGCCCCTGCAGGGGGAAGGGTTTAGTGATCCATATCCCCCCCAGATGCTCTGCCCTGAGCTCCTGCCTGGTTCTCTTTCCTATCTCTCCCTGCATTTTGCAGCATTGTACTTGTTCAGTGAAGTAGCAGGGTATTGGGGCAGGCTCACGTGTACTGTGCTGGCCCAACAATTCTACCTTGTCCTGTTAATGCTGAGGGTGGGGGTGTGAAGAGGGATATCTGGCCAAATTCTCCTGAGTCTTTTTCCTGGGAACCTCCAGCCCTTATTGACAAAGGGGTAGATAGGGCCCAGAACACCCATGCCTGCCCTGTTCTGCCCTTTCTCCCTTTCTCTGTGGATGTTGTTTCTTGAAGTGAAAGGTGTGACTGAGAGGAGTGGAGCAGCAGCTTCTGTAGATTCCCTTGCTGCTGGTTGTGGCAGAGAGAGCTGGGGGGAGTGTGTGCTGAAGTCCTATCTTAAGAATAGCATGAGTTCAAGCCCCTGTTCCAGGGCAGGGGAGTTCACAGCTAGCCCCCATCTTGCAGCAGATGGTGTCTGTTACTGTTGCATGTAACTGCAGTTAGAGCTGAGAGGTGTTACATCCCATCAAACCAATGCAGTGATTGTTCAGTGATTGACATCTTTGAGGATGTCACCCGTCAGCCCTCCTCACTGATGACATACTGCAGAGGTGTTGGAGCTATCAGCAGTTTCCTCCAATACTCTGCCTACTGCAGACATCCCTGGCAGCCCTAGAAACATGCATCTTGGTGAACAACCTCAGGAAAGAGGCTTGCTGTTGTCTGTACCTTGTTCTGGGACTCGCTGTTATGGGGCGTTCTGTTCTTAATCTGGCGTAAAGAGCACCAAGGAAATAAAAAAAAATAAAAAACCAAAACACCACCAAAAAACCCCTAAACAACCCAAGAAACCCCACCTAAAACCTTTTGCAGCCCAAGGGAATAAATGTAATGTTTTACCATCTCTGTTAGGTCCTTATCAGCAGAATTCTCTATTAGCCTGTTGGTTTCTAGATACGATTAGCTCAGTGTTCTGTCTGAGTATGGCTTGAAAGACTGACTTCAAGGGACATGACAGTCAGTGTAACCGGTCTCCTCAGGCTCCTGCCAGGACTCAGGTCTTGTTTCCCTGTGTGCCGGAGACTGCCACAGGCTTCCCTGTGAGCAAAGCTTTGTTCCTTGTTGTCCTGACAGAGGAAAGTGACTTTTCAATGATGTAAAAGGGCTTGGCTAGCAATGCAGTGAGACAGACTGAAGCAGCACTTCAGGAGTAAATGTTGCTTGAGAGACTTCTCTGTCCCTTTTGGTGCTGGGAAAGAGTTTTCAGCCTTCTGTAACCTTACCAGGCAGATTCTGCAAGTGTCTCCAGAAAACCTGAGCACAGACAAAAGCTGTAACTTTAAAAAGTGACAGCCCCTCCCCTTAAAATGCTCTGAGTGCTAAGAGAAATAAGTGTCTGCAAAAATCAATCCTAGTACGTTACCAAAAAAGCAGCCCGTCTACCTGAAAATTACTTGTGCTCCTTTGAGCCCTGTTTATTCTGGTATGGTCAAGTGGCATCTCTTGCCAGAACACATTACATAGTCTAGCAACTTTAAGCATCCTTTTCATGTAAATCCACAGAGGCTGTTAGGACAACCTGTCCAAACTCCTGAAATGCAAAAAGCCCTTCAAGCTTAAAAAAAAAAAAAAAAAAAAGCCTTCTAACATATGTGACAGTGCAACAGCATCTCACTAAAGGTTGAGCTGAAATTTTGTAAGGTTTTAATTCAAGTGCTATAACTGTTCCAACGATAGCAGTAGCCGTTGAATGGTTGGTATGGCTGCATTTACACCATGAGCACCCTTTAGAGATAATGCACAGATCCCACATGTCATGAAGCTCAGGGTCACAGATTCCCCAGCTGTAACATCTCATTGTGAGTTTTGCTTCTGGGAGATATATTACTTCAGCATCCTTCCAAGGTGGTTGTGATTTCCAGGTTAGCTCAATCCCATCATTATTTGCTGTACAGGAGTACAAGTTACAGGAGCAGTAACTTGATTGGCATGCTGACAGTGGGGTCTTGCAGTCCCCATTGACACTTTCAGTCAAGGAAATAACATTTGGAGATGTTTTGGTGACTGAAGCTTTCTTATGTATCATTTCCCAAGGTAAGGAACAAGTGGTTGTAATTGTTTAGAGATCTGGGGCTTAATAGATACGGAGCAATAAATTCTGCTGAGGTCTAATAAACAGGACCATAGAGTTCCTCTGGTTCATTTGCGAAGATGAGGGAGCTTGGCCCAATTTATGGGAGTATAGCTCCTCTGGTACCAGCATGATTATAGACTTGCAGTGAGTGCAAAACAAAGACTTCTCTACCTCCAGAAGACTACTGGTGCAAACATCCTCCTCCGCCTCTCTTCCCTTCCCTCAGCCCCTGTGTTAGGGGAGGGCCTTCATCTCCAGCAGTCAGTTGATTCTCTGTAATCTAAATTAAAGCTTGTCAGTGTGGAATTGTTCAGGCATTAATTCTGTGACACCTGATTCTGTATGATCAGTGCAAATACTTCCTCTCTACTTGGTCTACATCCTGTTGGGTTTGCTCTTTGCACTTCAGGCAGTTTGGACTGTAAAACTACTCTGGCTTGGTACTGAACAATTTAATTATAATGATACACCATCATGATGCTGTTTAGGTTGCAGACACTGCAGGGAGCTTTAAAGAAAAAACATAGATTGGACTCACTGACTTAGAGAACATTTGGGTTTTTATTTGTAGACTTCTTAATGCCTGTAGTCTTAGTCTGAAGTGGTCTTTCAAGTAATGAGTTGAGAGAGATGGCAGGGGTGTTGTCTTGTATTTTCTGGGGTTTTGTTTTTCCCCAGTCCCTTACAGGAAGGAGATCCTAGAACACTTAATCCATGCAGAGGGCAAACACTTAAGTTGCTGTGCGCTTACCTAGCTAGAGTACCAGCAAAATAGCAGAAACAGAATGGAGTAGCAATGGCCAGAGTTCCTTTTAGTGAAGTAAGTAGAAGCTGCATTTGCTGAGCACCAAAACTTGCAGCAAGCTTGCCCCTAACATCACAGATCAGTATCATGTATTGGAATAAGGAATATCAGGCTTGCAAGTAGCCTTGAGGGCAGGGGAAGAAGGTGCTCCTCCAAACCAGCCAAGAACCTCTGACAGCAGCGTGTCTCAGAGGACCCCATCCATGCTCTGTGACTGTCATGTGCTTGATACAGGAGCTCACTGTTGTCCATGCTTCTCAACTCTCATTCCAGAGCCAGTGCACTCACTGGCAATAAATCTCTGCACTTCCAAATTTCAGAGGGAAAGCAAAACTGGCTGTCCAGTGAATTGCTTAACTGGTGATCCATGCTGTGCAGAAAGATCAGTGCGAGGCCTAATTGACCCCTGTAAGTCTCCTTTGTGGAGTTGCACTCTGGTAGTTTGTGCCTCAAGTTTTATTCTCTTGCTGGCTCAGGCGAGGTGGAGAAGCATGTGTGATTGTGACTGCGATTGCTGTGCTAACCACAGTGTGTGTTCTCTTGTTTTTGTTTTCTGCTTTTTCACAGCAGAAGGGGCCCCGCCTCACCTACTCGACCTACCATAATCCGACCGGCTGAACCGTCCCTCTTAGATTTATAACTTGAGGCTGTAGACAGCTGGCGACGAATGCCGTGCTGGTGGCTTCCCCATTCCACTCTCCCTTCCACAGTCACTCTCCTCATCCATCCCACATCTCTGCCTCCCACCACCCCTTCCTGGTGTGTCGTAAAACACTAGCCTAGTGATCGAGCTCTTCGTCTTCACTCATGCGTCCTGTATTGCTTTGTGAGCATAGAGTAGCCTTCATTCAGTGGCATGGATCCCTGAAGTACACAGGCTCATTGGAGAGATCAGCCACAGGGACATCCTTAAGTCCAAGTGGTGGCTGTCCGTCCAGTTATTTCTTCTGCCTGGCCTAGCCTGGATAAGTGTCCTGCCTGCATCGGTTAGCTGTAGCACCTAGAACTGATCTGTAGCTATTTTCCTTTCTTGTAGTTAAGAAGACAAAAGTGTGACTTAGAAGAAAAATACTGTCAAAACATGTGACACCGTTAGGAACACATTAGATGTCCTGTGTATTAGTTTGACTTCTAAGGTGCAAAAATTCATGTTGGGAACAGTGCAATCAACCTTATATCGAAGTGAGGCAGGGAGATCAAGAAAGGGGGGAACTCAATGGATCGGCATAGTCCTGCTAGAGTGAAGTCTGAGATAGCGCACACACCTCGGCGTGCAGGGAGCACACG